AATCATATTTAAGGTATTATAAAACTCCATAGACTCCATGGCTACATGGTAGAAACAGGTGTGGCTACTGAAATATACAGAGATTAAAACTCAGCTTAGTATCTGTTTATTTTATTGGGTATTCTAGTAAAGCTTATGTAGAATAAGTGTGTAGGAATAAAAAAGCTTTGTTTTTTACTTTATTTTTAAGGCACATTTTGACTAAGCATGTTCACACATTAATGCACAGTAAAGTGTAATATACATACACACTCACAAATACGTGTAAACTCTCATGTTACAGTCCTGTTCCGACATAAAATTGATGTTTCACCGAATTGTTGGCCTGTATATGTTCTCTCCCTGTGATGGAATGTAACAAACCAAATAGTGATTTTAGTGTTTCAATACTGGCACTTCAAACAGTTAACAGAGTACTCATGCCCATCCCTAATAGTTTATTTCACATTAATCGGAATGACACCGTCTATGAGCTAGGCTATGTATGAAAACACTTCAAAGGCAAAGATGACAAATTTGGGTTCCAAGTGGCAGAACCATCTAAGCGTTGTGTCTGTTTTTGGGAGATTGCAAGTGACTCAGAGTGCTCACCAGTCCAGCTTGATCTCATTGGGTTAATTTGGTCATGACTAAACTGGGGAGAAAATTAGGTAAAAATAAGTGAATGATAAGTGAATAAATGAAGAGCAAATTTGTATAGTGAGTTTGTACGTTAAATTATGGTCCTTTATATCAGCTGGTAATATTAAATTACAAAAGATTCGATAAAGATGTATCGATAAGCAATGAGGTACAGGTCACCTTAAATACTGTAAGAGCAATATGTGACTTAAACCTTTTAAATATATATATATATATATATATATAATATAGCAAACATGGTTCAAAAGCCTGTATGTTAGAAAGTACCTTTCTCCTTTCTAAAGTACCTGTAAAAAGCTCTGGCCTTCTCTCTATCCTTGACCTTCTCACTAATTCCAGCAGATTAATTAGCTTGTACTGGCTAGCAAATGTGAGCTCTTGTGGGTGGTTTGCTGGAATGCTGGTGCTTTACTGAGTTTTGTGCCCACCCTTGGGCTGCCTGATGTCTCCATTCATCTCCCCATCTGGAAGCCCTCGATCAGCCCTATCTTCGCAGGTCTCCATAGTTACCCAGCTTACTGCTGTGTGCGTGTGTGTTTGTGTGTAGAGACTGATCTCACGCCTCCAGGGGAAACCCTTTGTGTCGATCTGGTGATGCTCCTGGGTTTGGGTGAACTGTACTGAAAGGTGTGGGGTTTGAAGCTGGGGGTTATGGGAATAGATTTTGTTCTCCAGGGGATGTTGATGTACAATGACATCATTGCTGCACGCCAAGACCCTCCTCTCATACAGTGGTGCTTTTAACCCCTTCAGGGCCTGATGAGATGTGTGTCGAAGCCCAATAGTCAAATAGAGCAGCTTGTCTACTGATGATTTATTTCTAGAATTGATACGTGATACTATTATTTGATTAATTAACTAATTAAACTGTCATGAATTCCATCTCATTTTGCCGCCTTCACAATTCAGACATTTTCGACATGATTGCTAAACTAAAAAAAATGCATATGAAATTTGTTGTGTTTGGCTCAAAAGCACAACGGAGATACCATTTTTTTTGGACACAGTTTGATTTGCCTATAGAAAGAAAACAAAACAGTGTTAGCGTATTTAAATAAAGAACCAAAAGTATCAAGGATTAGGAGTATTGAGTTGGACTTTCAATACATTGTGCAACACTGTTGTTACGGCAGTCTGTCAGAATGACTTCATGCATATATGAATATTATAGACTAGTGTTTCCCACAGGAATGAAAGAAAAAGGAGGAATGTCCATGGGGGCCCTGATTGCTGGGTTGGGAAACACTGTTGTAGACCTTAATAGACCCTTTTTTGTTTTTAAATAAGTGACATGTCGATGCAACCCTATTTCCTAAATGATGTCTTTAGCTAATCAGCTTTGCTGACTAATTGTTGCAGCCCTATCATTGGTCAAAGATTTGTTATTGTCTGGTGTTGATGTGCTCCAAGCTCAGCTTCAGTAGACTGTGGTGAAGGACCCCAAAATTACCCCAAAAACCTGTTTTGGGACTTCAACATAAAACTCTTCTGACAGGCCAAATTGCAGCTTGCTGCTGGTCTTCCATTTCCCTGTCTCTTTGGGAGCGATGTGGTTTGGGAGGAGCATCGGCAGAGGGTGTGGAGGGCGTGGTGGCCCACGCTGGAGGCTGAAATAGCACTAAATTTGCTCATGGGTCCCACACTGGGTGCCCACAGGCCCGAATTCAGCCTAGAACATAGCTACTGATTCTGGATCATCAGTGCTCTTCAACTTCAGATGAACTGAATATGATGGTGGACCGATCTTTCTAATTGTAGATCAGCGTCCCTCTTCTCCGAGTTGCTCTGTGAAGGCAACTGGCAAAACTACCATCTTGGAAATGAGACAATAATTTCCTTGTGATATCACCACTCATCAGTGCTCAGATCTTTCAGGTGTTTAAATATGCTTTACTTTTAAATCACCTTTGAGTCAAAAGATTTTCAACATGTGCTTTTCACAACAGTTTGGGGAAAAAAGCCTCTTGAATATAAAATCTAAAATCTGTTCTTAATACCAAGAAAGAATGTTTGATAAACTTGATGTGAATGGGTAAGTAAATTTAATCAGTTTAATTGTGTCCAATCATGTTGACTAGTATTGTGCTGAGTGAAGGGAGAGCGGTTCATCCCTCACAGATAGATCGAAGCCAGTTATGTTGTTTTGTACTCACAACTACGGATGGCTGTGGCATCACCGAGGAACCTCCTGATGCTAGGGCCACCATTTCGATGGTTAAACCACAGCAGCTCCCACATCACTTTTGTTCTGTAATTGAAAATGACTGTGAAAATCAAAAAATTTGTTGTAAAATTTCAAAAGAAGGCAAGGTGTGCAATATTAGACAGGCAGTGTCAAATACTGGACACCTTGCTCAAAAAAGAGAGACATTTGTGTCTTAGTGGGGGGAAAAAAGTGTAGAAGCCAGATGGAGATTGGTCCAGTCCTTTCATAAATCAGCTACATTTCATACCAGACTACACTGTGACACATGTGGTGAGTCTGTATTCACTGTCATCTGGCTGATATAAAATACACATTTCACAAACTCAATGTCCACAGCTGGTGCAGTCCACTGAGCATTTTCAGGGCCATAATAGAATATCTAATGTTATAAAAAAAAAAAAACGCACAAAAAAAACATATCTTCGCTCTTTCCTCAAGAGCCTCTCATCTCCATGTGCAAATTCAGCTGCTCCATGAGTTTTCTTTTAGCTGCTCCCATTAAGTGCTCTTAAACCCTACATAACAACTCAGACTAGAACATCTCTGTTTCTTTATTTGATGTGATATAAATCGGCCCCTTTTTGCTCTGTTTCTTGTGTAGAATGTAAAAACTAGCCCCAAACAGTGTTTAGAGGGCCATAAGAATGTTCTCCTTACAAACCTTGTTGTTAACTTTTTTCCAATCCTTTTGTTTTGACTGTTCACATTTGTTTTTGTACATGACCCGTATCTGTCATTGATCTGAATGACCTCTGCCCTGATTGATAATGGGCACACGTGGGTCCTAAGTCAATAATCTTGTGTGCATGATTTAAATGTGTTCTGAATAGCAACAAAACATTCTACAATTAGATGCAAAACTACATTTGTCAGACAGTCTATTTAGGTATATTAGAACTGAATAGAACTTAACTGTTGAATCCACACTAGATTTCAGGAGGTTTTGTACAATGGGCTGGATTGACATATTTCCCAAAATATCAAGCACATCGGCCATTTCACTGTCCCTCCACTCCAACCTGCCTCGGTGGGGTATTCTGAGTGGTGGCTGCAAAAAAAAAATCTTACACGTTACTTCAGGCCTGTAATGTGAACATAGCCTAAGCCTCCACTGTCTGCTATCAATAGAGCTGACTGCAGGCCCAAGGCTGTGTGGAGAGGACACAGTAAATAGTGCAGTGCTGCAGAAAACCCCCACAACGAGGAGTGACATTGAAGAGCTGCTGTGTCATAACAGTGATTCTGCATATAGCATCAGCCCCTCCCTAACGCGCTCAGTGACACAGGAGAAAGGACAGGCAAGACAGGAAGCTGTTGCATAAGAGGTCTGCACACCCCACCCACCTCTACACTAGAGGTATGGATGTGTGTCTTTGTGTCCTGAAAAGTAAAAAAAAATGTATTTACCACCATCCCACTGTATTAAATACAAACTTGTGCCTGTACATGACACTGCAAGCTCATACGTTTCATACATGCATTTCACATCCTGCAGCAGTGCCTCTTAAGTAAGATTTTCCAGGTTAAAAATTAGGCGAGCTCCCTATTGATGATGATCTTGAAGTTGGCAGGAAACTACAACTGCCTTGGGGCCAGTACCTGTACCTGCTGGCCTGATTTGAACTTTATTTCTTTAAGCTGGTGAATATCCTATCAGCAGATAGCTAATAGCTAATGTTACTGCAAGAAAGCTTATCTTATCGCAGCCATATAAGTGTAGTAATTGTCTTCAGATAATCATCTGCCGTGGAGAGAATGGGTTACTCAGACAACATGGTTGTATTTGAAGTGAGTTCTCTGTACAGCATGTAAACTTATTTTCATTTAGAAAATCAACCAAATAGAATTTGACCAGGGGTGCCCAAACTTTTGGGTACAGCTATAAATGATAAATGAAAAGGAGGACAAGAAGCTCAAAGCTAAAGTTAGCAAGGTAGAGAATTTTGATGAACAAAAACATGAAAAGAATAAATTCTTTTAAGCCGGTGAGGCTGAGTGATACAATGGGATACTACAGAATACTGCATAACACATCAAATAACACATTAAACAGGCCAGATTGCCCCTTTAAGTATTGTCTGTACTCTTTAAAACAGCATGCTGTAATATCTCTGTGCTGACTGTGGCTGTCTTGCGTTATCTGCTACTTTAGGTATGTGGAGAGGAAGAACTTTCTGGAGAGAGTGGACCAGCGGCAGTTTGAGCTGGAGAAGACTGTGCGTCTTAGCAACATGAAACGGTGACTGGAAAATGTACAGGATGGATCCAGTAGTACATGGACTGTATACACACACACACACACACACACACACACACACACACACACACGCTCTCTATACTGTGAGTCACTATTTGACTCTTTTGGCCGTCTCTCTGACGGGCAGCTCTCTCGCCTCCTGCTTCTGACCTTAGTCCACATGAGAAGCACATTCATCCATGATTGGTGCCACCCATCTGATGATCTAGCCTGTATCCACCTCCACTGACCTGATCTGTATGAGAAACCTAGAAATGTTCACTCATCTCTCACCCATAAACTGGACTCAGTAAGGACATAACAATCAGGAGAAAAAAACAGAATGGGGATGGATCTCAACAGAATCAAATCAAAGTCTCACGGTACTTCATGGTATAGTGAAAATGAGAATTTCAGTGAATTTGTGTTGGTTAGGTTTGATCTATAGTGTTTCCAAAAGTGGTTACAGATCTTGTTCTCCTGCTTCTCGCAGCTCAGTACTTTTCTTTCTCTGCTTTAACACATGGGATTTGGCTCTTGAAAAACCATGTGTTTTAGAGTAGGGAAAACATTAAACTATGTATTTGATCTACAAGATTTGATAGAGTTCTGTAGTGAAATATGATTCCATAGTCAGTCATTCTCAACCCCAGTCCTAGAGGCTCAGTGTACTACACTTTTTCTGTGCTTTAACACACCTCGTTTAATTTATCAGGTATTTACTAAGGTGTCTGAGAACTTAGTCTCAACACGCAGGATTTTCAGGTCTAGGACCAGCATCCAGTGCATTTTCACTCTTAACGAACAAAAAGACGTCATACTGAGCTGCTTCTCAGACTCGTAGTCGTTCAGGGGCGTTCTCGGGATTGAAACATAAGGGTGTGTAGTTGTTTGTTCCTGTATTTGTGCCGTTTCTCCTTTGAGAGTTTGCTCTGTTAAGATTGATTGTATGGTAATTACACCTCTCCTGCTGTAAACAACTTTTTTTTTTTTGCCCTTTGACACGGAATAAATCAAATCATTTGGTTTGACTCTTTTTTTAAAATATGGCATCGCTTGCTTCTAATTGCTTTGCCCTGCTAATTAATGACTCTGACCTTCTCCCTAAGGGGGAGGGGGTGATGTCATACTCAGTGCCTGTTGCCTCAGATGGATTCACCATAACTGACATACACAGCAGGACCACCTCCAATTTGCCCTCTTCCAGCTAAACACCCAGGGGCTCAGGACCCCAACACAACTGTCTGAAGAAAAGACTTCAAGGGCTTTTCTTAGTCTTTTTTTTTAGCTCCACTGATGTTTAGTGAACCCTAGGAACTTACTTTTGTGTTTGATAACAGCAAAGCCTTTCTTCTGCGAGCCTTCCACATAGTTTGCTGGTGTGGAGGTGGCATCTAATTGTAGTTTTGGAGACTTGGTGGCTGCAGGATGAAACCAACTCTTTGAACTTTCAGACTGTGATCTTTGGAGAAAGTTTTGTCTCTCAAACCATCCTTTTCTTTGTGTGGGGGAAAGATACATGTATCCTCTGTCAGGCAGGTTCTTCATTGTTGCAGTTGTTTGATACTTCTTAATTATTGCCCTAATAGTGGAGATGGGTTCTTTCTGATGCACTAAGGGTGTTTTTCCTCTATATCACCACGTATTTAAACCCCATTGAAATGAGAAGTTGTGGTGGACCACTTAGTTAGGGGTTTAACGTTAACATTTTTAGGTTCAGTATGATTTTTGATTCTGTGGTCAAGATTCGATTTGAATTTCAGCAATAAACTAAGAGCCAAAAGTTGCAACCCCTTCGACTTCAGTGGAAAAAAATGTCATTTGAGAGTGGGTGCATGCAGAAGATAAGCCCTGCTGTGATAAGATGCACTCAGAGGCCTGTTTTTGATAAGAGACCCTTGGAAGGGACTGAGGGGTGTATACAGGTTTAAATATAAAGATTGTTTTGAACATTCATTTTTTTCATTTTTACATACTGTAATGAAGTCATTACACCTTTACCACTTAGTAGCAAAAGGTGAAATAAATTGGAATGTAATTTTGATTTCATAAAAATTTCTAAAAATACTCTTTACTGAACAGCTAAAAATGCCCCCTGGTGAAACACCCCGCCTCCACGCTTCTGAGCTTTATTTTGGTTTCTCATAGTTTTATTTTCTCCAGAATTGTTCTGTTATCAGGGCCTGTATCAGTAGTGTGTTCATCCTTTCACTTGAAGATAATTGTTTTTGTTTATAAAGCTCCAGCTCCTCCCTTCTCCCCCATCAGTGCAGAGCCGCTGCGTTTGTTTACTTCCATTTCCGCTGGAGACCCAGTCAGAGAAGCTTTCAATGGTTCATCTGTTCGTTTGTGTAATTACAGACCCCCATTCCTCTCCCTCCTCTCCACATACAGGAGTGGAGTGTGTGTGTTTCAGTGGGAGTAGATGGATGTGGTGTGTGTGATGAAGCAGGCTGTTCTTGTGCTCGTACAGCAGGTATGCTGTGTGGAGAGCAGCACTGCAGGTGGAGTGGACTGTTCTACAGCCTTTATCCCTCCACTACATCACTGTCCTCCCAGCTCCACTCAGAAGGACCCCCGACTGCCTCTCAGAATCCCCTCCCCCCTCAGAGGGACAGCGAGCTGGGCAGTGCTGCTGCATACACGCACAGTAGCAGATATCCTTGTGTACATAAAGGCCGTATCACACACACTCTTTTGTCACTCAGTGTAGAGAGAGTGACATTCAGGAGAGGTAGCTCTACTCATTATTCATTACCTACCTCTCTCACTCAAGAGCTGCATCATTATTCAATCTCTCTCTCTCTCTCTCTCTCTCTCTCTCTCTCTCTCTCTCTCTCTCTCTCTCTCTCTCTCTCTCTCTCTCTCTCTCTCTCTCTCTCTCTCTCTCTCTCTCTCTCTCTCTCTCTCTCTCTCTGTTCTGCTTCACATTCTCTCCCCCCTTCTCTCTTTTCTTTCACTTTTGGTCTCTCTCTGTCTTTCACTTTAATTTACTTTTCACTCTTCCTGACTATCTCTCCCTCCTTTTCTGTCTCTTTTCACTGTCTTTTTTTTCCCCCTCTCTACTTTTCCTTCACTGTTTTTCACCTTTCTTTCTTCCTCTCTTTCTCTCTCTCCTTTACTGTCTTCCTTCACTCTCTTCTTTTTCTCTCTACTTCTCATTTTCTCTCTCCTTTATTTCTTCTCTCTGTACTTTTTTCTGCTTTACTTTTTTTTCCTCTCATCTCTCTTTCACCCTCTCTTTCTCTAATTTCTCTCTGGTTTTCCTTTACTCTTGCATCCTCCCTCTTTTTCTTATCTCTTGTTTTACTTTATTCTTTCTATACTTTTCTCTCTCCCCCCTAATTTTAATTTACTCTTTTTTTTTCCTCTCCTTTTCTCTTTCTCTTATTTTACTCTGTTTCTCTCTATTTTTATTTTCTCCACTTTCCCTTCACATTACATCTACTTCCCGCTTTCTTTCTTTCTGCTGCTTGTGTCCCTTTGGGTATTTGTTTCAGTCTTGATTTCTGTTTGAAGCTTGTTTCCTTTATCTGTTCTATTTCCTATTTCTTTTAAAGGCCTTTCCCTTTCCTTCCCGTTTTCTCATTTCTGACTGCTTCCCGTTTTGTTCTGCTCTGTTCATAAAGCAGCTGAAGAAACAGGAGGAGTATCTTCTGTGAAAGAGCATAAATGAATGTGAAGCACAGCCTCTTTTGGGTGTATAACACAAGATTCCTCCTCCTTTGCATGCGCTCTGTGTGCTCAGGGTAAGTTTGACAGAGCAGGCAGAAATCAGTCATGCCAGTTGAGTGAAATCCTGAGACTGGGACAAAGACTCTCTGCCTGCAGCGACCTATTCAGTGTACATTATTTCCACATTAATAAAACAAAGTACATCAATTTTATATTTGTTTACCCACATTTGAATCTGAGCTATTTTGATGCATCACAAAAGCAGCCTTATGGAACCTTGGACAGCTGGAATGCCTGATGTATATTTGGCACAAACTTCACCTCCAGGCATGTGTAACCGTCCGTCACCAAGTGCAAGGCTTCAAACGAGGCCAGGGCCTGCACAAATAGACACCACTGTAGAGAAGATAATTATAAACAATTGTGATAAAGAGAGACTAAAATAACGGCAGGGTAAAATGTTCCGAATGCCACTAACCCTTCCGGCTCCCACTGGGTAAAAGGCTCTTATGATGTCCACTACTGCTCTGGCCTCTTTGGTAGAGTCACAGAAAAATTACCTCTTCTGTTTTAAAGATGTGTCAAAATATATTACAAAAGCAAACTTATTTTACTGTACAGCATCCCAGCCTACGACTAGAGTTTAATATTTATTGTTATGCAGCTGCAAAAAAGTTTCCGGCTTCTTCACGTTTCTCCTGACAGACACTAGTCTTGTCAGGGAGTTAGTATCAGTACCACACATCACGGCTACCAAACACCATTGCTGACCATAAATAAACAACAAAAAAATTCGAAATCTATTGTGGCTTAATTTAGTTTATAAAAATCTGTCTATTAGATTTTAAAATATTAAAATGAAAACAGCTATTTGTCTACAAAGCATTACGTCTACTTTGAGTACTTTTTACACATAATTTAAGGCTGATATATGAAACGTAGCAAAGTTATCTACTAGGTTAGCTACTTGGCTAAGCACTGCTGTAAATCACTTCCAAAGGTGCCAGTTTGAGGGTGTTTATTTCTACTCTAGCTCAATGTGTGTGCACTTTCACTCACAAAGTCAGTCTGTTTTAGCTTCTGATGATAGTTGTTAAACATTTTATGGAAAGGTAATTTTGAAAGTTGTGTCATCCAAAGTGTAGGCCACCATAAAATAACCATCTTACAGCCAGGGTCATGCCCCCAATTATGAGGACCACTGGAATACAGGACAGGAGGACTGGCTGTCCTGCAACGGGACCTCAATTCATGTTCTGTCAAACCATTTACTCTGTATTTCCAAGAGTGTTCTCAACAATGTATTTTCTTGTAGGTAAGTACAAAGCCTAATTCTCTACACCATGGCAGTCCACCTCCTGGGGTTCTTCAATATGAGACTTCGTTCTAACCCAAATCTAAGACACCTGTTCAGACGCTCTGTACTGTTTTAATGAGCTGAAGAAGGTGTATCTGTGGCAAGAGCCCCCATTCTACAGCCTAAGCACACGTATAGGCCTAACAATTTCACTTTTCTCAAAAATATCTCTCTTTTCCATTCACACACAGAACAATGGGCAGATTACAACAAGGGGGAGATGTGAGACACATATCTGAAGGTCAGGATCGAACCCTTGTCCTTCTGCACCCTGGTTGACTGTATAATTAAAAGACATTTGCAGTGCTCAAGGCTGCTGCTGTCAGAAAGCGCCTTGGGAACAATGCCTCTGGTAATAGTCCCTAGCTACACGCCGTCTAGCAGAAACCCCACTGTTCTGTTCTTGTTTCTGCAAGAGATGTAGGACTTTTTTATTCCACTACTTTTTGAATATAGTGCCTTAAAGGCAGAATGATGTGTTCCCAATGAAGGCCCAAAAATAAGTCATTGCAAAACTTTTCTTCTGAAATATAACATTTATCACTGCAGTTTATTCACTGCCATGTACCGATGGCACCAACGTAATACCAGGTATCAGCACAAGAGAAAAAGAATCGAATCCAATCTTGTAACAAATCTGTCCTGAAATAGCACACTCACACTGGGTGATGTGCAGTTGTTAGCTGTGAATTTCTTCCTGGGGGTAGCAGTGTTTGAGCTGATGGACTACTTTGCTGATGGATACTCAAATTAAGTGCTTCAATTAAAGATAGCTCACTTTAAAGCTAAGTAGTTTTCTAAGTAGTTATCCAGCTAACTGAGAAATCCTCCTTTGTTAAATACCCTCCCTGATATGGACTGTAAGAATATTTGTTGCAACATAAAGAACAAAATTTTGGCTCTGATGAAGTGATCGTTCCACGTTTGATTATGCTAAACGGCTTTCACCTTCATGATCTTGTGTTGTGAAGCAGCCTGCCCTGTCAAGCTCATATCATA